GGGTTCACGCCATTCTCCTGCCTCAGCCTCCTGAGTAGCTGGGACTACAGGCGCCTGCCACCACGCCCGGCTAATTTTTTGTATTTTTAGTAGAGATGAGGTTTCACCATGTTAGCCAACATGTTCTCGATCTCCTGACCTCGTGATCTGCCTGCTTTGGCCTCCCAAAATGCTGGGATTACAGGCGTGAGCCATGGTGCCCGGCCGGCCCAAGTTTTGTCGTTGTGGGTTTTTATTTTGGAGATGGAGTCTTGCTCTGTCTTGTTGCCCAGGCTGGAGTGCAGTGCAAGATCTCGGATCACCTCAGCCTCTGCCTCCCAGGTTCAAGCGATTCTCCTGCCTCAGCCTCCCGAGTAGCTGGGAGTACAAGCGCATGCCGCCACACCCGGCTAATTTTTTGTATTTTAGTAGAGATGGGGTTTCACCATCTTGCCCAGGCTGGTCTCGAACTCCTAAGCTCAGGCAGTCCGCCCACCTTGGCCTCCCAAAGTGTTAGGATTGCAGGCGTGAGCCACTGCGCTGGCAGTGTTGGATGAGCTTTGTAAAGCTCAGGCTTTTTAGGGTTCCAGCCAGCAGGGCAGCCTGCTTCTCACCACCCACATGAGCCACAGGCCTTGGCTCTGTTAGTCCCTGAGCTCCCCGGGAATTCTCGTAGCCTTTTGCGGATTCGTTATGACGTGGTCTGGCTTAAAACCTCCGTGGAGTTTTATAGGTAGGGGAGACTGGAAGGGGGTCCTGCGGTAGTGTGATAGGGAGGGGGGCTTCTCCCCTGGGCAGTAGGACCTAACGGTCTTCCTCTCTTGGAAGATGAGGTTCGGGCAGGAACCTACCGCCAGCTCTTCCATCCAGAGCAGCTCATCACAGGAAAGGAGGATGCAGCCAACAATTATGCCCGGGGCCACTACACGGTGGGCAAAGAGAGCATTGACCTGGTGCTGGACCGCATACGGAAGCTGGTAAGAGTCAGGAGGGCAGGGGATGGGTGGGCCAGGCTGGAGTGGACACGATTGGCCCCATGCCTCTTTGATGAGGCTGGGGAGAGGCATGTGACCCCCGGCTATAGGATGGAGCTCCTAAGGTTTGGGAATTTCTGCTTAAATTCTGTAAGAAGCACGCAAAGGGATGATGCCCCTTCCTCTGTGTTGGCATCATAGACTGTGTTCCAGGCTGAGGCCCTACTCATTGATGCTCTCTGGTAGTATCTGGGGAAGCTTCCGGGTGTAAGGCAGGATGAGGTCTCTGCTGGTTGGAAACACAGGTTAACAAAGCATTTAACTTGGAAGAGAAGAGGAAGAGATTGCTGATCCATTTGGGCACTTACAAATGCCATTACAAATGTCAAGTACATTCCTTCATTTAACCCTTAATAATTATACTTAGGAAGTCTCCTTCCTGTTCTTTACAGATGAAGAAAGTGAGGGCCGGGGTGGTTCAATATCTTAGCCTGGGTCACACAGCTAAAAAGTGGCAGAGTTGGGGCTTGAACTCAGTTGGTTGGACTATAAAGCTCTGAGTTGTAGGTTGTGTCACTTTCTTTCTTTAAGCTTCCATTTGCTTATCTGTAAGTGGAAAAGCTTGGACCTGATCACATGTTCTTTGCCTGGGAGCTAAGGGTGCCAATTTTTTTTTTTTGAGACGGAGTCTCTCTCTGTTGCCCAGGCTGGAGTGCAGTGGCCGGATCTCAGCTCACTGCAAGCTCCGCCTCCCGGGTTTACGCC